GTTTGGTATTAGCGGGGAGAGAGACAGTAGATCACCAGGCAAGGCGTCGGACGAAGAAGGATGAAGTAGACGGAGACGAATAGATGTACAGGGCCGTAAGGGCCTCAGAGGCAGGAAGCGCGGCGACGAAATCGATTAAGGGCCAGGAAACGGGAGATGTCGACACTCCGAATTCTCCAAAAACCGGAGCGGAGCCCCCGGTGGCGTCCCGTGACCGCGGCGCTAAAAGATGAGCCCGAAAAAGCTCATCGATCAGAGGAAAGCGCGAAGGGCGGATCGAGAGGTACAGAATCAGGACCTGCGTCGATGAGTTGCCGATACGCGCGTGGCCGCTATCACTCGCGACGCCGTGAAATGAAGATCCTGATTGGCTCATTACCTGGAGCGACGAGCGGCGCACGGCCGCGAGAGAAATTGCCGTACCGGCGAAATTCATTGTTGTGCGCGCCGTGGTACTTACAAGTTCACCGCCTAAGTCAAGTGCCGAGTGATAGTGTGTGTCGGAGAAACTAGAGCCCGAGGAGGATCCGAGCGACCCTGCAAGGACAATATAGGGCCGAGAGTTGCCGAACGGAGTAGATAAAACTGCAGAAATACGAGCCGGCAAGCGTAAGTGACTACTCGCTTTCTCTCTCTCGCATAAATTGGGAAATATCTTCACGGATCGAGTCTGCACGCTTTTCGTCAGCTCGATGTCGCGCTGATTATTGTTACAAAAATTCATGTTTAATTACGAGGATTACACGTTGCCATTTGCCGACAATTTTGTTCATTATCGCTGCTCTCTCTCACCGTACCACGGTCGCAACAATCCGGACGTGATATCGTTCGTAACTCGTTGGTATGTTGTTTTGTTTTTCTTTTTTTTGTAGTAAAATTCGTTTCGTTGTACAACAATAAGTCGATTTCGTCGAGTCGTCGTTTAACCGTGCGAGTTATGAGAATTCCGAAAGTAATATTGTAATCGTACTGCATTCTCTCGGGAGCGAAATATAAGCGAGTTCATTTTTTTGTATAATCGAGATCGGAAAGCGCGGGTCGTGCCGAAACTCGTGGCCGTCGGACCGCGACCTGATATTGTGTGCCAACTCTCGCGCATGCAGGACAAAGACCGCGCGCATCTCGCGCGTCTTATCTATCGTCCGGCGTACGACACCGCATTCCATCGTTTTAATTAACGCCTCGCGCGATGAGCCATATATTAGAATACTAGCGCACGGCCACGAGCGAATATTCGACTCACCAAAGATCGCGTCGGATCCTCTGCCGCCGATATTCCCCGTTACTAAACAGAAACTTTCCGTACGACTTAGCTCACTGTTGCCCACGTAGTTCTTATATATTTTGTTTTCTTTGTTCCGCTTGTTTATATGATTTGGATGTATTGCCGAGAATTTTCTTGGCCGGCCGCACGCCACCATTATAATACTTGTTATTAAACTACATTATTAATTATCCTCAACGAGCAAGTTTCCCGACTTTTATTTCACACTGCCTCCTGAGCCCACGCCTCTCCGTTAGTTGAACATAGTGAGCTGTGCCAAATGATCTGGCCGTCACGTCCAAAATTGTTGTCAAAATATTGGCCGTAAACTAATATCTGGTTGTGAGTGGCGTGATTTCCACGCCTGGCGCCCAATTTCTGGCTTAGGTATGTAAAGTAAATTTAATACTTCGATATAAAAGACGTGCCGCAGTTGTGCCGCGCCTTTGCTATAATATCTCAAACAAGGTGCCCGTCACAACGTCTATCCTTGTATAGAGGGCACTACCTACTGGACAGCGTAGCAGCAAAGCCGCTGGTTCAGCATCCTCTAAAGGGTCTTCTACAATGAGATATCAGTAATAGGTCACAGAAGTCAGAAGCTAGAAATTGTCCAATCACAGTCAAATCACAGAAGAATAATCGATTGTGATTAGTCAGTTTCTTGCTTCTGACTTCTGATTTATTACTATTTTATTGTAGAAGGCTCTTTAAGCGTGCTCCTCGAACGCAACCTAAAATGGCAGCGGAAATATTTGCTTCTTTCAGTGTTGTTGCGAAGTCGCGTTTTCGCGTATGCGCACTGTACAGCCAATTAGGTTCCCATAAAAGCTGTGTTTTCGCGCATGCGCCTTTAAATGTAGCATTGTTAGCACTGCCGTACTAACCCCGACATTGGGTGCTTTCCAACTACGTACATAGCGCGTCATTGAATCGCGGAATAGGCGCGGGGATCGGGGGGTAAGCGGGGCGGTTGCTCGTAGCGCCAACGAGCGCCGTACGAACTAACTAGTAGCAATCGGATGTCCACAACTACGTCGTGTCGATAATGTAACTGCTCTTCCTTCCTATTTTTTTCTCAAAACGTAAAAGTATTAGTCATTTACTTAATATTTAACGTTGACAAATAACATGTGTATATATATATATATATATATATATATATGTGTGTGTTTAATAGATGGATCTATTGTCTCCGGTAAATGGAAGGAACGTATATTGTAAAAGTCTCGTTTAAAAAAATATATGTATATTTAATATTAATATTTATATGTAGCTACTAAATAAATATAATTTTATTATATTATTATATTTTATTCTATTATATCTATATAGTATTGTGTATACAATTAAATATATGTAAAAATCAAAACATTAAAAAGTGAATAGGTCAAACCGTATATAAATAAGATGAAAAAGATATAACAAATAAATATATTATAACAAATAGATATATGCCAACTGTAGAACGTATTCAGAGGAACACTCACGGACAATTTTCGTCTTGCCGACTATTATGCTCCCGAATGTACCGCATTATCGCTTCCAGCTGCGCTTGCGCCTGTGTCGCTTCTTGCTTGTCTCGTGATCCACGTTCGCCGGCATTGCTACTGTCGGCGTCTGATCTTAGGCTAGTATTACATTTGTCGTACGACAAAGATTTTAAATATATTGATTAGCTATCAAATAGACTTCTTTATAAAACTCTATCTGATAACCAATCAACATACTAAAAATCGTTGTCAAATGGTTGTACGACAAATGTAATATTAGCTTTAAGGCGCGTTGTTGTAACTCTTGGATTTCCCGGAGCAGCTGCATTTGTTTCCTATTCGCCGTTGGTCGCACTCACTGAACTATAATATGGAACGCGCCTTTCATTGTTCGAGCTGTCCGCGATAGAGAGCATCACAACTAGGATCTCTATCTTTGTCTCGTAGTCGCTGATTGGTTGAAATTTATACGACTACAGTCCAAGACAAAAGAACAACGAAAAGTAAGGAATGACTGCATTTAGCAGAAATCAGCGCTCAGCAATTGCTAATACGCAGTCATTCTTTACTTTTTGTTGTTTTTTTGTCTTGGACTGCACTCGTAAGCGCTGATTTCTGCTAAACGCAGTCATTTTTTACTTTTTGTTGTTTTTTTGTCTTGGACTGCATTCGTATAAATTTCAACCAATCAGCAACAACAAAACAAAGACAAAGATCCTAGTTGTAATGCTCTCTATCGCGGACAGCTCGCACAGTGTTGTCGAGAAGTCGCGTTTTCGCGTATACGCACTGTACAGCCAATTAGGTTCCCATAAAAGCTGTGTTTTCGCGCATGCGCCTTTAAATGTAGCATTACTGCCGTACTAACTCCGACATTATTNACTGTACAGCCAATTAGGTTCCCATAAAAGCTGTGTTTTCGCGCATGCGCCTTTAAATGTAGCATTACTGCCGTACTAACTCCGACATTATTAAGGTTCTGTAAAGACCCCAATAATTTTTTATGATTAACACGTGGAGTGTGTTGTAATAATATTTGTTTAGTTTTTTAATAACATTTAAATAAGAAAATATAAAAAAGATTAGATTTAAAGACAATAGAAATAAATAAACATAGAAATAACATTTACTTTAATATTTTATTTGGCAGAAATCACGAATACCAATATTTATTGCAAAGATAAGGGAAACTGCCAAAAACCTTACCAGTATTCAAAAAAACAAAAATACATTCTTTTATTTTAACAAACCTGAATATTTTATTTTATTTTTTTATTTAATTTAATGTAATAATCCTCTACAGCACAAAATATTACTACAACATTGCAGAAATATTATTTTGCAAGATTGAAATATTTCATGGAATATTGCTGAAAGCTTGCAACAACATTTCTATGTCCGCTTTTAAACTATATTGTGCAATATTTCTGCAATCTTTCTGAAATATTGCAAAAAATGTACATATATTTAGAGAATATTGTAAAAAATTGTTTTCATATATTTAATACTAATTCCTAGACAGCACAAAAGTCTAAAAAACATCATAGAAATATTCAAAACATTTCTACGATGTCTAACGAACTTTTTTTACTGTCTCAGAATGTTTTAGACATCGTAAAAATGTTTTGGATATTTCTATGATGTTTTTTGTACTTTTGTGCTGTCTAGAACGAATTATTATTGATAAAACAAAGTTTATTACTTAATATATATTTATTAAACACATCAATACATTATAATATATTAAGAATATATAAGAATATATATTATTAACAAACATAAAATATATTTTAAAAAATATACCCAGCAAACATTTCGGTCACAGAACCATATCCATCTGTGTCCTCAGTAGGATATGGTTTGGTAACCATGTCTGTCAACATGTGAAATGTCAAAATGCGACCAAAATGATGACAGAGTCTGCCACAAGCAAAGCGAAGTC